CCCCAAAACCCCAAAACCCCAAAACCCCAAAACCCCACTCTGAGCTTTAGGAATTGAAATTGCTATAGTACCTTTACAGAGCCTTTTTCTTCTTTCTGCTAGCAGCTAAAGAGAGGTCTCTTTGCTTATATTCTTTGATAGCTTCATTTTCTACTAATTTTTCATTATTCAAGCTATAAAGTTTCATCAGCTGTCATTAAAATCGAAGGAATTTTAGAAATCTGAAAGAAATCCTGAAGGAATTTGCACAAAATGGAGAGGGTTTACCTGCTGTATCTGTAGAGGAAGACTTTGAATTTGTTCTTGTCTGGAATCTCTTCAAGATCTCAAGCTATCTCCAAAGTTGAGTGAAGTGTGTCAAATAAAGTCCGGTTTTGGAGAACTCAGAAATCATTCGACAGGCCTTTCTTATCCATAGGGTTAGTCCTTGACTTATGGCTTGATTTAGTCCTTGATTTAGTCCTTGACTTGAAGAAATCTAATGTTGTATTCGGACAAATCTTTTGGAAAGTCTCATGTTGAAATTTACTGAAAGTTGAAATAGTATCTTGGTGCTTTCTACAGGTAAAATTTAGGATACATCTTGCTAACACGGGATTTCTGTTGAGTGTTAGTTCTTTTGCTAGAGGTTTCAGGCTTGGTAGCTCTTGTAAAATGTGTCGTCTTTGCATCAGTCCTGTTCATTCCTTTGGAGTTACGCTGTTGTCCCCACTTGAAGGGATATGCGGTCTTCCTCTTTTTGGTGAAAGAACTTTGAATATTTCTAGAACTAAACAGAACATACATACCTGCTTGCAGTTGCATAATTACTAGTTTTGCTATCATCATCTGTATATTTCCTTCTATTTTTGATCTGTCTAATTTTCATTCGGCTGTTAGATCTGGCATTCCTTGTCTTCAGATTAATGTACGGATTTTCGAACCCTGTCAGATCAATATGATTATTATCGTTAATTCTCTGTCCGAGTGCCACTGTATTACCACTGCAGTCGGAACTAATATCTTCATTTATCAGTTCGCGAATTTGTGAAGAATTGTCTGGGATATATCCGACAGAGCCTGAAAACTGGGATCGGTTGCCAAAATCATCATTAATGCTGAACTTGCGACTAAACATTCTTCTTAATTACTTACCGTTTGAATAATTTACTAACATGTTTGAGTAAATTCGTAATTTTCCCGACTTTCTCCTGTGATTTCTTCTTATTTGTGTTAATGACTTTAACAACCGGGGCACATTTGCCAAACTTAGATTTAGTCGTAACTTTAGAAGCGAGAGTCGTGTTAGACTCTCTCCTTGAGAAGACTAAGTTCTGCTCTCTCTTCAGTGAATGAAAGTCTAATGAGATATCTTTACGCTCCTTTTTGTTTTCTTTCTGTCTTTGAAGGACTTTCTGTTCATTTAGAATCCTCTTCTTATCTACAGATTAGCCATAATTCGTACTTTTGGATGAGCTTCTTCTTGCATATCTCCTGTCAGTCCTTTACCGTAGCTCTGACGTTAGTTTCACGATTCAGTATTTTCTTGGCTCTGAAATTTGATCAAGTAACTTACTTTTTGGAGATAGTCTTTTCATGAGTATTTCTATGACATTATGTGAAAAAATTACAAGAATTCTTCCTGTTTTTTCATGGAATATGTGTATATGTCATCGATAACACTTATTGTCTTCGGCTCTTTCTTTAGGTTATAGAGCAAAACATACTAAGCGAGTATTTAGAATTCTAAGTGCCTTTATTGCTGGTTTCTCAGGTGTTTTGAGCAAGTCCATTAAGTTTTTACCACTTATGCTATTTTTACTTTTAGGGTTCCTTGCCTTCTTGTCACGTCGGAGTGAAGTTCCAAATATTTTATCATCCTCAATCTCAGCTTGTTTCTGTTGTTCCTCTATCGCCTGTATACTATCTTCTATCTTCACTAAGTTCTTCGAAGGTTTCTTCTTAAGTACTTTATGCAGGTAATAATGTGTCTCGAACCTGTCCATTTTATATTTTATTTTATCCTCTCAACTTTTTTGGGTGGTTAAGGGGTTTTGGGGTTTTGGGGTTTTGGGGTTTTGGGG